AAAAAGGCAGCATCTCACAGAAAGGGCAGTAGACTTTGGGTGTTCAAATGACACATCAATTTTTTTTACATCAGTTCAGTGATGCAAAAAATATACCAGTATGGCTTTAGTCTTCAGATTTACTAAAAATATTGAAAAGGAATACAGTCCAGTCATCAGTATGCAGTGCTTTGAAATATTACTGTGAACTACTTCAAATATTTTGGAGACTGTCTAATAATCTGTGCAAGTTTAAACACCATGCTTTTTGTTAGCTGTATTCTTCCAGGGTCATGCAAGTCTCCTAACTGTAACTGAGAGGTAGATGACAGAGAAAAAAAAAATTGAATTGCAAAATAATAACATGAAATGATGTTGAAATTATATAGCAATACTTATGCAAATTGTGATTTAAAAGATGCCTATACATGCAAATGCTTTAAATATGTATGTACAAACATCAGAAAAGTGCCAACTTCTCCCCTCCCCCCCAAAGTAAACCAGAGAGCCTTGTTAAAATTGATGTCATCTCTGATAATAAATATTTTCTAAAAATCCCTTTATATTCCTCAGTAGGAGTAAAAAAATAATTATCTATAGAGAAACTAACAAAAATTGCCTTGATTGACTTTCATTAAAGGCAAAATTGTCAGTATCCATTGAAGCAAGTTAATCTAGCCAACCGTATCCTGGGTTACATTAAGAGAAGCATGACCAGCAGATAGAGTAAGGTGGTTCTACCCCTCTGGTCTGCTCTCATGAGACCCCACCTGGAGTATCGTGTCCAGTTCTGGGGATCTCAACACACGAATGACATGGAGCTGTTGGAGCAGGTCCAGAGGAGGGCCACGAAAATGATCAGAGGGCTAGAATACCTCCACTATGAGGACAGGCTGAGAGAGCTGAGGCTTTTCAGCCTGGAGAAGAGAAGGTTCTGGGGAGATGTTATAGTGGCCTTCCAACACTTGAAGGGAGCCCACAGGAAAGCTGGGAAGGGACTTCTTTATTAGTTCATGTAGCAACAGGATGAGGGGAAATGGATTTAAACTGGAAGAGAGTAGATTTAGACTACATATTATCAGGAAGAAGTTCTTTATTGCGAGGTTGGTGAGACACTGGAATAGGTTGCTCAGAGAGATTGTGGATGCTCCCTCCCTGGAGACGTTTGGGGCCAGGCTGGATGAGGTTTTGAGCAATCTGGTCTAGTGGGAGGTGTCCCTGCCTATAGCAGGGGGATTGAAACTAGATGATCTTAAATGGTCCTTCCAACCCAAACCATTCTACGATTCTATGATTCTAAAAAAGTGGGCTTGTTTAGTAAATCCTGATGGCTAAATACAATCTGGCTGTGTGTTATATCTGTAGTTTATTATATGAGTGGATAACACCTTACCTCCCCACAACCATCTAAAGTAGCAAGTGAAAAAAAAATATTTCGGCATTTGAGGGAAGTCAATGACAGCAAGTATTTAATAAAAGAGATTCCGTGCCTTATCTAAGTTTTTTGTGCAACATCAGAATGGAAAACTGCGAGTCAGAAGAACCTTGAAGTTGAATAAGAAGGAAAATGAAGTTACAAAAATAGTTAATAGGGATGCATCTCTAATGGGAAATAAAATCAATATGATTTCTGTATGGATAAAACTAGGCAAGATGAATCCTACTCCTTGAGGGAGTACATGATGCATTGCTACTTCATAGAATCTTTATGGATGGTTGTACCAAAAAAAACCAAAAATAATAATTAAAACTCACTGTTTACCCGCAGAGCTTGTGACTCTTCATAGACTTCTCTGGCTTAAGTTTTGAACAGTTATGTACATGCTGACAAACTTTTTTTTTTTTTAGGTACAGTGGATGTTGCTATGCAAAAATGCCATAAAAATTAATGTGAACGTTGAGTCACAAAGTCAGGGAAATTGTTGCCATTAACTTCAACAGCAAGGACAGCTGAACTTACTCTCATAAGGAAAATATCATTAGAAAACTGAAGAAAATAATAATAATCTATCTGAAGACAACTTTTTCCAACCCTGTCAAAACAGTTCACACATCACCTTCTTGAAACATAAGTACTGCACTTTGACTACAGGATTTCGAACCTGAGGGAGGTACAAAACTAGCAACAGCTGCAAGCACAGTTCAGTGGTGAGAAGTGGCAAGGGTGAACATTTGTTCTTGAACAAGTACTAAGGATTATTAGTGAGAAGGCTTTCTCTAGAGTTGAAAAGGGCAAAACAGAAGAACCGTCCTGCTACTAGAGAATTATAATGTCAAAAAACCCTAAAGAGATAGAAGTATCTGGATAAGTGCTCTGAATCTATCTGAAATTTAACCTTGATGTTAAATAGAAAACATATGATTGGTGGAGACTGATTATTCTCTTTCCTACTAATTTTAAGATTTTGGCATTATTTGATTAATTGAATATAAACAACATGATAATCTGGCTCAGAAATATTATAGCAGAGAGATAAAGAGGATGAAATATATATCAGATTAAGACTAACTCAGGATTTGCTTACACTGACTGACAGACTACAGACTTCATCGTGTGTAAGAGATGCCTGTGGTACATCTTAAAATTTGAGAGTACATTACATGACTGTGTACAGCAAAGGCATCTCTTAATCTTGACCCTGCAGTGGTCTATAGTGAAGGCTGACCAAAGTAACTAAAATAAAGCAGGGGGACATAAATAAATGATATATACATGGGTCTCTCATTCTAAAAGCAGAATGGTAAGGAATTTATTTGCAGTAATGATTTCAGCTCAGTGCAAGTAAGAATGATATTCCAGGTTTTATAGGCAAGTTATATTCATTTCATTACTTTAATGCTCACAGAATTGACTGAAGGCAGTTTATTATTAATATTAAAATAAGAACTACATATTAAAATTCCACTTTAGGACTCTTATTTGGAAGACTTTTTCATTTCTGGCTTTTTTTTTTTTTTTTTTGCATAGATATGGCTCCAATCTTCTTCATTACGCTTTGCATTCAAAATTCCATAACACTCAGTAATATCAAGTGCATTCTGATTTGCTGTTCTAGTAGTAGTTGTTGCCAGTTTTAAGAAGATGAAATGAGAAGAATGTAAAGAAATGCTTCTCTAGATTCAGTTCACATCTTATGTTGTTTCTGTTACCTGATACATCATTTTACCTCATTATGTGATTAAAAGCTGTACATTGGTGAATGGTGGTAAAGCAGCTCTTTGATTCCTACTACTGACATAATTGACTGGAGATGAAAGATCAGGAGTCCTGTAGAGAATATACAGAAATATCGATTTCCTCTGAGATAGTAACATCAGTGTTGCTATTGTAGGTGTGTCTACGGCTCAAAGAAACTTGTTTTTCCCTTATTTCCTATGCCATGTTTTATTGCATTCTGCAGTCCTTTACAGAACAGGTGAGCTGCCTGTATGATTCCCAAGAGCCTCTTACTTGAGTCCTAAAGGTCAATATCAATTTTTAATGGGCTTAAATCAAAAGTTGATACTTGCTGTCTTTTACCCTGCATTTTTAATCGTGCTATTTTGTGTTTTTGTTCTTTTTTTTTTTTTTTTTTTTTTTTTTCATTTTGGTTTATTGGGTTTATGTTTGTTTGTTTGCTTGTTTTGCAGAGATAATAAACATACAAATTTTTGCCTCAGTCATTTTTGTTCTACCTATGTACTCAACTCTTTTCAAATAATCTCTGCCTTTGACACTTGCTGTCATGAGCAAAGTGGTGTTCCTGATGGCTACTCTTTAGCTGATGTTTCAGTTCATCCTTTGTAGTCCAGCATTATTACTGATATTCCTAACTGTATGACAGCTTGCCAATTGTGAAACTCTACATCTCGTGAAATGTGGGACATTTTCAGACTGGACCCTGGAACTCCCCATGTATGTCCATGCATCCATAACCAGAGTAATGCTTTCATCTCATAGGGTGTTGTCTGGATTACATTTTGAAAGAAGGTATAATGTATTTATGTCTCTGAACTTCAACTTTATGGGGATTATATCACTTTCCTTTAGACAGTTCACTGCTCAAATCTGAGCATATAACCCTTATTTTCTTCTGAAACTCTGAAATACACATTATTTTGTTGCTGAAGTACCTACAAGACTTGTAGAAGCTGTCTGGATTTCCTGCACTTAATTAGGTAAAAAGAAGATGCAAATTTCTGTACCATCTTGCTAGTGGATTCATGATGTTTCTTCTCCAAAACAGTGCTAATGAAAAGTTCAGCGTTACTGTGGAAGTTCGTAGCAAATAAGATGATAATCCTGCAAGACAGAAGCAAGCAGAATCTTTTTTTGTCTTTTTTAAATAGTGAAAATAAGCAAATTGAATGCTGCTCTTAAGAAACTGGCATTTCCACTTGCTAGTTTCTGTTATTGTATTTCTTTTGTTATTGGCACTTCAAATCGTGTTTAACATATCTGTCTGTCCAGCGTATTTACAGCTATATGATATGTATTTGAGGACTGAAGAAAAATAACATACTTTTTCCTGAATTGAATGTACATGTATAAATGTTCTATGAATCAGACCCTTAATTTTCACAACTTCTGTGGCATATATATGAAATTCTGCAAAATGAAGTTCCTCAACTATGAATAGAACAGAAATATTTTCATCTAAAACCTTCAGAATCTTGCACTTTTCAACTTCAAGTGCAATGCTAAATCTTTTTTTTAATTAATAATTTTTATTTTATTTTATTTTTTTTTTACCTCAAGGAACAATTGTGTGCATTTCAATTGATGTGTCTGTGTGAAATAAGACCAAATATCCTGCACAAAAAATGATACGCTAATACAAAGCTCCCAGATTTGTACTGACAATGTACTTTGCAGCATTTTTGATTAAACCAATAACATGAAATAGAAGTAGCTTTTCACTAAATACATGGGAAGGGGAGATGAGAACTGGTATGAAGTTACCTGCCCTCAAGGACCTGAAGTTAGACCTTACATCTTGTCATCAACCAGTTAATGACTTGCCAATTAACTCAAGCATCCACGCTGATGTCATTGCCATGAAGCAAGTGAACAAACTGATTTCCACTTTTGTTAGCAGTATAAATTCTAGTTTAAAATACTTTCATTTAGCTTATTTTGAATTAGTGAGGTCTGAATGTACTTGTGTTCAAATGCGTCTGTTGAAGTATAACATAGCCACAGGAGGAAACAACCTCTGCTGTTTATTGCATTTTATAAATTGTGCCCACCAATTGTTTGTCTTCCAACCTGAACTTCTACATTCCTATTGTAATTGTTTACATAGATATAATGAATATTTTGATCTAGTGGGCATATAAATGAGAAAAAAAGTTTTCATTGTGCTTCATTCAGGTAATTTTGAAACAAACCTTTGAGCTCGTTTTTTTTTTATATATTAGTAGTAAATACAGTTTGGGCACATTAATTCAACAGACATTAACAGTACTCTATTAAAGAACACAAAATATCTCCCCATATAACAGCAACAGACGCTTTTGCATTAGATGTATTTTTGAAACAAAACTTTGTCATGTGAAGGCTTTACACCCAGTTTTCTTGACTCTTCACTGTCCAGAGTCATAGTTTGGATGGGCTTATTTATGGAACCACTACCTCTGTAACTTCAATTTTGTATCACTGAAATAAATAAACTATAGATTGTAATTTAACTTGGAGTCTTGACATGGGGCAAAAATCTGTTCCCATCCAATATTGTAACTGATCATTATTAACACAAAACCTGGCTTGTGTCTTGAAGGCATATTTCAAATGGAAGTCATAAGTGTTGTCTTCTGGGCTACATAGCAGATTAAATATTGGTTTCTCTTTCTGAAGGATCTTCAAGAGTTTTGTCAGCTCTGCTAGCAGCATCTTCATTCTCGTTGTTTGTTAGTGGTTCTGCCTCCTTCAAGTCAGTGTTCTTCTGTGCTTTCTGTTTCTCATCTTCTAACTTCTTTTCTTTTGCCAATAGCCTGTAGTTAATAGCATTGCCAATGAACAACCAGATGCTGGCCACAATCACAATCACTCCACAGACAAAATACATGTATTGATATTCACCAGTAACATCCACTAACCAACCTGAAATAGAAAAACAAAAGGAGAGAAAAGTATGTTTAGAGTAGAACACCTAACACAATCTAAATATTTCTTCAGGAGAAACATCTATATATGACCTGTTTTCAAAGCTGGAGCAGAAAAGTGTTTCCAACACATTCAAATTGTCTAAAATATATAGTGGGCCTCTAATAAAACATGCGTTGATTAAACCAGCAATTGTCACTGGAATCACTGACAATGATGAAATACTGAAGAACAAAGTAAGAAAAGCTTAATGAATAATGACAGACAGTTTCCAGTTCTTTCATTTTCTTTCATTGTCTTATTATTTTATTCAGCTCCTGATTTTATTTTTTATTGTTTTGGAGTGACTGCCTGACACTCATGGAGCCTGTACACAGACAATAGCATGAGAAGGAATGTGCCTTCTTAGACTGCTGTCACTGTGCACCAACTGCTTGTTTTTCATTTTTATTTTCCTGTGACTGGTGAAAGAAATAGAAAGGCTTATTTCTTCAGCCATCATCCCTAACTGTTGATTTTTGAACTCAGAAGCCTGTCCCTAAGAATTATATTCAAAATTCTAAGATTAGTTCGGACATGACAACTACAATATTCTTCCATTTTACGAGCCATTCTTTCTGATTTTTTTCAACTCCCTAATCAACATTTGTACTTATCCAAGCATTCAGCTTTGAACACAGCTACACTATCACTGAAATTCAAAAGATAATCTGCACAGTAAGTACTTAATTAGATGCTTCTATTGGGTTGTACCCAATGCCCTAATTCACCTGAGACACATTTACAAGCCATCAAACTATTTTAGTCTTTTCTTTACTTCACAAGCCTAGCATTAGAAAAAACTCAAGCAGTGCTGCAAGTGTATAATTAACTTATTATTGTATATAGTACAATTTACCGCTTTTTATTCATAAGCAGTCTCATAAAATTGATTAAAAATGAGATTCTGCACTAACATTACTTCAGCATAGTATTTAAAAGAACAAGAACTAGTCAAAACTGGAATTTAGATTTTTCATGTGTTCATCCCCTCTGTTGTCTCTGTTTAACAAGCACAATTACTTATCATTATACCACAAAGACTTGTGATTATAGCACTATACACAGCCTTTCGAAACTTGTGCAAACCTGACGAATTAAAAAATAAATACTCATATATGCCATTGCACCACTGATATTAAATTTAAAATTTTTGGATATTGATATTGATTTCAGAGTCTGGCTGAAAAAGCTAGACTCTATCAGTCACAGATGGCTCCCCCCACTAGGTGGCACAGAAAGAGTCTGTGTGAGTTGTACGTTTTGTTCTGCCATTACCAAAATGAACTCATACGATAAAAGATGAGGCAAATATGGAATATCTTGAGGTCTGTTAAAAATATACTTGTACAATTATTATTGTAATGAAATGAGTTGAACAGTTCTAGCTTATTTAAAATTTCATAAAGGAATGCTTTTTTCATACAAATATTGATGGTAATCCTAAAAAAACTTGGACATGTACTTTTAGGCACATATAGTCTAGGTGACTTGTGACACTGCTTTTTTGGGTATAGTGTATGTTCACAGTGCTAGGAGTCTTTGCATTTCTATATTGTTGGGCTTACAGTACAAGACACACACACGCAATTAACATATACTTTTCAACAAGATTAGGGTATCTATTTTTTTTAGAGAAACTTCTATAAGACTCTTTTCATCATTTTTGCTACCTGATTCCCAAAAGTTACAAATATAGCCCAAGCTATATCAACTAGTCTGCTTTTTATCTCCCCTTACGTTGAAAAGAGAAGTTAGCAACACTAACAACTTTCAGTCCAGGTAGGATGATTCATACAGTGAAATGTCTGAAACCTATCTAATGCTTACAGAAACAGGCTGAACAATTGGCTGAGTGTGGAGGTGTGGTGTGACATTCACATGAGGGCACAGTGCCATGCAACACCATGCTGGAGTACTGCCTGAGCTGCTAAGCCTGACTTTGTCCATTCCAGCACCTCTCTGCCAGTTTGTTTTATCTAGATATGCAAATTGTCTCCATTTAGAGAAATTAAGATTGTCATTTTAAATGTAAGAAAGTGTTCCTTCAGCTGTGATGAAGATGGAGAAACTACAAGTCACTCTGTAAAATCTTCAAAAACTGACCAGTGGATCAGATGAATTCAAGGGAGTAAGAATTGTTCTGGTGAAGAGCAAAGTGGAACTGAATATACGAAAATTAAGGCAGCAAACTTAGCTCTAAGTACTACCAGGGAATCATACATTATCTGAATTTAAGGGCTAGTCAAGATACATTCATAATCTATCTACTGCAAATAGATTCCACGAATGCCTTTACATTTTCATGCAGATATGAAGCTGTGAATTGCAAAGATAATAGGTGCAATGCAGTGCTTCTACACTACATTCCTAGTCACAGAGAAAACATGACATAACATTAAGTAAAATTATTTTATTAATTCATTAGTAAACTGCAAGGTCATATCTGGAAAAAAAAAGAGTGGAATAAAAGAGATTCTTACCTCCTAGAGGAGGGCCTATGAGCACAGGGCAGCATTCCACGATGGTGACCAGTCCAACTGCACTGGAAAATCTGGCAGCACCAACAAGGTCCATCAGAGTCTCAAAAAGTACACTGCTAACCATTCCAAATGCAAACCCAAAAAATACAGCATATATCACCAAGCCAGTGTAATTTGTTGCCAGAGGACACAAGATATGACAGACTCCATTGTAGAAGACAGCAAAACTAAAAAAGTACTGGATCTTTGGACGGATAAATTTAGAGTTTGCTACAAGTCCCATTGAAGGCCTAGCAAACATATCTACAAAGGCTAAGATGGATAGCAAAAAAGCAGCAGAATATTCATCAATTCCCTTGTGTTTGGCATAAGGAGCCAAAAAAACTATTGGAGCAAAGAAACCAATAAACATAATAACATTTCCTGACAAATAGATCAGAAACCCTCTGTGTTTGAAGAGGGATAGGTCTAGGTATTTATTAATAGTTTGCCAAAAAGACTTCTTGTTGTTTTTGTGCAGGCTAGAATCTCCTGTGCCTTTTTCAACATCTTTTTTCACAGGAGGGACTGGTTTTGGTCCAACAGGCCTCATAAGTGACCCAGCCACACAGCAGTTCAAAAGTAGTCCTCCCAGAATGAGAAAGCTTCCTTTCCAACCAAATGCATTAAAGAGGAATTGATTGAGAGGTGCCAATGTGCTCAGAAACACTGGACTTCCAGCCATGGCCAATCCATTAGCAATGGGACGCTTCTTATAGAAATACTTGCCGATCATTGTTAAGGCAGGCTGTAAATTGAATGCCAAACCCAGACCTAAAATACAAATACAAATAGTACAAAGCATTATTGCATAGCATGAACTGCAGAACATACACTATACTTTAGCCAAGTTATTTTTAAAATTACCAATATCTAATCTAGTGATTTTGAATGAAAATGAAAACCACCAAGAATGAGAGTGAAATACAGCTTCACACCTTTCTGTCTCTCTTCAAGTCAGCAGTAAGTCATGGTGGTATTCTGTCATTTCTGCCTGTAGCATTTTAATATAAACCCAAATTCCTCACTGTGTTTCAGCAATGATAGAGACAGTGGAATGACACAGGAATTATGGTATCAGCACCATGATTCTATTTTTCATTTAGTAAGCCGTAATACAATTCTCTCTTGGCTCATTTCACAAAAGTTATTAAATGGCAACTCAGTTACAATGAAAATAGGATGAACTTAAACAAATCTCCTCCCATTTTATTTCCAGTCCTATTTAAGATTGAAATTTTTTATAAAAGTGGAAATTAAAAGGGATAATTATTTTGGAGCACATTCAGCTCTACAACCTCAGGTATGGAAGTCCCCACTTGTTGCAGAAGAGGAGGAAAAGTATGGAGATAGTCCACACATTTACACAAGAATATGAGTTGCACCTCTTGGCCTTCTGTCCATATTAAGACATCTCTGTAATAAAGGCTAAGTAGCTATTGATCTGTTTGGTGGCATTCATTTTATTAAAGATACTTTTGGTAAATAACTAATTTACTGGCTTTACAACTACCTCATTGTCTTAGGAAATATTCAGGCTTTTAATGACACAGGAAAAATTTTGTTTAAATTTTGACTTGGATTTTACACAGAAAGCTTTAGAATTGAAACCTATCATATTTTCTACGGAAGAAAACCTACAGAAAGCTGGGATTAGGTTCTGCATTTTTACTATAATTCTGTTACTCTCTGCCACCCTGCTTGATGTGTAACTTGATTGAAAGCTAAAACAATGAACGTGAAATGCTACACAAATTACTGTAATAAATGCTGTCAATTTTTATACCATAATTACAGTGCAGCGTGGAAGAGTACATACATACAGCATTTATTGAATAAAATTCTCAGCTGTTCCTTAAATATTCTATGAAATAATTTAACATCATAGTGGCTAATTTAAAGAATTAAAACATTTACGTGGCTGAAATGAACTGATATTGTTTCCTTCTTGTTTAGCATGTGCAATGCCTTGCATGGTGAGTTTTTCCTCAGTAACAGGTTGTTGGTACAGCAGTACTAGAAATAATATAGTATTACATTTTAAAGAGCACTCTTACCTCCAACAACACCAATGCATATATAAAGCTCCAGAACGCTATTGCAGAAAGAGGAAGCAATCATGCCAAATGAACACAGAATACCCCCTGCTATCATCACTGGTCGGCTACCATATTTATTCACCAGAATGCTGCTTATGGGCCCTGTTGGAAGAAAGAAAAAGTATTAGCAGATAGAAGGTAACTCTATCATACATGTCTTCTTCTTCAAGATATGTTGGAATGCCTTAGTATTCCATCCAGGAGAATGTTTAGCTGTTTCTATACTGATTTGTCAGACAAACACTCTGTTTGCAGACACATGAGCCTGAATGTGGATATACTATCTCCATGACAATATAAATATCGATTTATCATGGAGATGGATCAAAAGATTAAAGACATCAGACAAGCAAGAAGGATTGTTACAGTTCACAAGTAATCAATACTGAGATCGGACAGTGGAAGTTTTGAAAGTGCAAGGGCTGAAGAATTTCATGTATGAGACAGATATCAAAACCCTGCTTAACAGAGCTGGAAAAATATCCAGGCAAGCAAACCAACAACTGATCTTGTTGATACTGTAGCACATCAGTATGTTTTGGACACTGACTTAAGCCCACACATAGACCCTGTCACATCAGAATGTACATTTTTGGCCTTCGATCATCATTTTCCCTTACCTGATTCAGAGAGGCAGTTAATGGGCAATAGGATGATTACAGGTTGTCTGGGAAAATCTAAAATGTGGTTTAGCATAAAGATTTTGAAACTTTAAAAATATTACTACAAGTCCATTTCTCAGTTTCAACTGCAGTTCAGTTTATGGTGTAATTACGTCCACACTAAACAAACAGCTAGTATGCAATTTAGCATGACATGCATTATATGTTTCTTAAACGACCATGACTAGAATAGATGGCATGCTACATATCAAGATTAAGAGGTTGTCAAAGCTCTTTAGGCAAAACTGCACACCGTCTGATTGCACTATATTTGGCCCAAACCATTATGAATCGCATTGTTTTTGCAATAACTAAACTTACTCAATTAAAAAAAAACCAAAACACCAGTATTAAAAAGCAATAAATTTTAAATACAAAACAGGCACTTGGCATAAAGTGGAATGCCAAGCACTGCACCTGATTTCATTGCAAAATTCTTTTAAGTCTCTCGCTCTGAATATCAGAAGGAGTAAACGCCAGAATTTTCATGATGCAAAAAAAAACCCTAAATTCCATCAAATTTAAGACTGTATATTTCATGTGTATACTGTTATTTTGGACTCCACTGTTTGAATTACTCTAAATGTGTTAAATGAGTATTATGAACATACTGTAAATGGTAAATACCTACAACAAAAATACTTCTCATATGCTGAATGACCACATTTTAGCTTACTTCCTTAAGGAAACAAATATTCACCATAGTATTGCTCTGTGCCTGCTCACCTTTTCTAACAGCTTGTGAATCCAAAGGTCAGCTTGAAGTTAATTTGATGACAAACATTTCAAGTTGACTGACTGAATATTTAGGGCTCTAATTTACTACAAGATTTCAGTGATGCTTGGATCTTACAATCTGTATTTAAGAAACAGCTTGGGGCCCAAACAGCCCAGGGAAATTTCTGGCAATAAAAGGAGCTCCTTGTCCAGGCAGCCCAGGCATTAGCAAATGTGCTCAATTCTGTATGAGTGATGGAATGGACCTAAAAACACTTTTTTTCCCAGGAAGCTGAGCAGTGGAAGATAGGTGGTGGAATATAGGAGAAACATTATTGCTATTTTACTGGTAAGGTAAAGGGTAATCAAAGTGAAGGTGTTAGGGCTCATCTTGCTGATGAACAAAACAGGACAGAGGACTCTGCTAGCTCTGCTGCTCATTGATTAATCACAAAAGTGGACTGAAACCTCCAGGCTTAAAAACTCAATAATAGAATGGCCCACCAAATATAAAATAGCCCAGAGATTTAATGAGTTTAAATCACACATGAAACACTAAACCATTTAGCAGACATTTTACATTGTGAGATAATCAGTGCTTTTTTATTTACACTGGAGGGGAGTCCATGCAGAACCTTGGTGAGGTGAGGTTTTCCTTTTGAGGACATAAGCAGAAGGCATGAGACATGAAGGATGGATAACGTATGCTCAAACCACTTCTAAATATATCATGTGTACCTCTCTTGTCTTAGTAAACTTGTGCACTCATAACTACAGTGATATGTAATTTCAATCACAGGTTGTTTTAATACAGATATGTCTGAACAATCAGTAGTTAGGGTCATGTCTGGATTAGAAAGAAAGCCCTTTTAAAATACATGAACAATATATTTTCTTAGGTTAAAGTAAAAACAAACAGACAAACAAAAAACCTACAACTTTAACTCAAAGTAAAAAGTTTCATTCCAATATCAAGTAATATTTATATTATTAAAAAATAATATTTAGATATTTTTCTGAAAGAAAAAGGCTTAAGGGTTCTCATTGCTAAACACAACAATGGCATCTCGCTTCAAACACCAAAACAAGGATATTTTAATATTTTCAAGTTATTTTCTTATTATGAGATAGGAGTATTTCTATAAATTTGACCACATGAAAAATCATGTGATATTTGTTAATTTCCCCAGAATTATGTCAGCAATAAATGCGGACTTGCTGTAATCATATTAGAATGTTCCTTTCATCATCCTTGGGGGAGGAGGGAGGGAGAAAGGGGAAGAACTACAAAAGAAGCATTTTGGACAATATTTGGTCAAAGTATTTGCAGACGTATTAACTACAGGCAGCATCTTGAGTTGTACCCATATGTAAGAACTTAAGAAATTATCTAGATAGCAAAAGACCTGATAGCAATCTGTTTCTTTTCACAGTCTTTTTCATTAAACAAAGACTGTGAAAAGCCAAGATACGTGTGAGACAGTGTGAAGATGATGAATTAAATGCACACATAGCAGACTATCAAATGTTGGAGAGAAATAGATTGAAAAATATTGTTGTGCAATATTGCTGCATTGCTAACTTAATTTAAATAAAACTATGGATCAACATTGCACCGTGTTGACATTTTCCAACTATAACCATGGGAAAAGTCATGCTCTACAGTAGCATTTACTGTAAAAGAATCTGAACTATAGTATCCATGTTCTTTGATATTGTTCCATCAAACCTTCCTTCCTTCTACAAGACAGGATAATACGTCAGATTCTTATTTGTTTAGCTGTCTGGGGAAGATATTTGCTTTTGGAAGTTTTCTTTTAGGGAATGGGAAATAACTCGTTTTCACAGCACAATACTTTCAGGGATATAGCTTTGCAAACAGTTCAGAGAAAAGAAAACTGCATCTCTGTGGATCTTAACTATGGCAGCTGGGCCAGAACTTAAGGACTTACAGCTTTTGTGATCAAAGAATGCAATGTCATCCTCACCTACAAGGTGCGTTAGCTCAAAGTCAAGTATGCATGTATCAGTTCAGGCAGGTAGTGAGCAAAGACACCAGAGAAAAGACAAAGATACCTGGTATATCAGAGCTCCAAACTTTCAAATGACCTAAATTTGGACTGCATAAATTAAAAATTCTTTTAAAATTTATATTATCTTTGAGGTGTTTTACCCAAGTAATGAAGTGCATTTACTGCCAAAACTTGATATCACTTTTTTTTTTTTTTTTTTTTTTTTTTTTTTGTATTCTAGCATTTTAATTTAGTATTTGTGCATTTGAGAAATACAAAACTTTCTATCAGAGACTAAGTTAGTTCAAGACACCTCCATTAGTATCCAGAAACCCTCCCAATCTGTTGAGTAGGTTAAATATGCTCTTGTGACATCTGTGTATATACTTGGTTTCTGAGTCTCATAAAATGATGCATATCATATCTCAGTGTATATGAGTCCACATAAATTCCAGCTGTTTGTTTGTCTGAAATCATACTTTTTATAGCCCTGCATCAATCTAATTTTACATTTAACAGTTTCTGCAAATAAGCAATGCTCACATGCTAGCAGAAGGGACCTAAATTCCATGCTTTTCTATTTTGTTTTTTTCTGGGGGGAGGTTTTTTTTTTTTTTTTTTTTTTTTTTTTGAGAAGCAATATTAAGCTGTTTAAGTCACGTATCACTGCCAAAATCATGCATATTAATGCACTAAAGGACTGCTGGATCTGTGAGTCTATTTTCCTGAAGCCTGAAATAACTACCTAGCAGATGTTAACTCAGGAAGCCCACAAGAATATTTAGCCTGATCTCTCCCTTAACACCTACAAACCATCAGCCACAAAAGACTATACACTCCCTGAGATAAATTTAAGGCCATGACCGTAATATACTAATAGTCTCCTGGCTGTATTTTTGTTTTATATCTGTCTAAGGTAATGTCCAGACATCGAGGAGTAAGATAGCGACAGTAACTGTGTCACTAAAGAACAGACTCAGGAAGGGTTACACAGCAGGGCACAAATGTTTTAAAGGAAGACAAGGGAAAGAAAGAAGCTTTTCATGTTCATCATACATTGATGAAAAGATTGCAATAGCTTGCTCAGCTATATGTTTGGGAGCTGTTAATGATGTTTTATACAAAGCCTATAATCACTTATAAGCACTTATTTTGACAGCTAAGCAGAACATTTACTTGACCAGTTGTAGGCAAAAAATGTGAGGACAAGACTGCTTTGACTGGCCTTCAGCCCTCTTACAGACCTCTTAGTAGAAATACATTGTTTAGAAATGAAATACATTATTTCTTATAATAACAATAGTAGCAATAAGCTATGTTTTCCTCTCACTTCCAAGTTCAGTGTTTCAACCACTGTTTAAATCTCCCTTCTTCAGTTAAGCTCTGCTGTTGTTAAAGAAAGATAATAAAAAAGACTAGGTAACTGAATAATAAGTAGATTTAAAAAGCAGATGTTAGAAGAAACAATCACTTTTTTCCCTTTAAAAGATACCCATGTGCTAATATTGTTTAAACAGAACTCAAACAATAAAATGTTGGGTTTTTTTTTTTTTTTTTTTTTTTTTACAGCAGTGTACTGCTGGATATTTTTGTGGAAATGAACACAGCTCAAACTACAGACTATCAATTTAATAGCCTCTGTCTCATTGTCAGAGATACACACACAGTCATGCACATACCTATGTATTTATTTGCTTTTTCCAGTCCTAAA